AGGAAGGGGAGGAAGGGGAGGAAGGGGAGGAAGGGGAGGAAGGCAAGCAGGAAAGCCTCTGAATCCCTCACCCCCCGGCCTGGGGCCAGGAGACCAGACAACGCGGAGAAGTCAGAGGCCCGCGGCACGGGGCCTGCGGGGCGCGCACCTGTGAGGTGGACATGCGGGAGGTATCTTGCCGGCCTGTGAGGTCGGACGAGGAGATGTTGACCGGGGCGCCGCGGTGCAGCCGCATACTCACTTTCCGCTCTCTTTCCATGCCGGACACGGGCCGAGGAGAGGTGTTTGCTGGCGGAGAGGGAGACAGAGGCAGAAGTGAGGCCTTGGAAGGCCCCTCCACACTCCAACATGGGCTTTCCACTGGGAACCGTGGTCTAGCAAGGACGCCTGCAGCCTCGGCACAGGGCACAGGACAGGCTGCTGCAGCCCAGTACTGGGTGGGGACGAGCGACGCCAGCCTCGGGCCCGAGGAGGGTCACGACAGGCCCGTGAGGCTGGAGGGGTTCGTCGGGGGCTCTCCTTTCGTCACCAGGAGAATGTGAACAGCGACAGGGCTTGTAAGGAACTCAGCCCTTCAGGAGACCAACAAGGAAACAGATGCTCCCCAAGGCGCCGTCCCAGGCTGTTCCCGGGCCCCTCTAACCTCGGGAACAACTATCAGCCAGAACAGGAACGCACACAGCTTGGCCCACGAGGCCCGCCCGGTCCCCAGTCCCCACTCCCAGAGCCGGCTCCCCGCAAGGTCACACTGGAGGGGCCAGAGCAACCAACACACAGAACAGCAGTTGTTGCCTCAGAGCAGGAGGCTGCGGCACATCTGGCGGCCCCAAGACCACTCACCAGTGTGTGAGGTAGGGGTGAGGGGTGTGGGAGGAGCCACTTCCTGTGTCCCCCTCAGCCGGCCAGAGGCCGTGGAGGGGAGGCCGCGGGTGGCTGGATTTCGGGAGTGTCTCAAGCGCTCCTCTCGGTCCCGGCGTTCCCGCTCGGCATCGTCAGCTGCCCGGCTGGCTCCCTGAGAAGGAAAGAGGCAAGACCTGAACTGAACTGGGTTTGCTGAAAAACCACCCCAGGCCTCTGGCTGCGAACTGAGCCAAGAAAACACCAGGGCGTTGGGGACAAGACTGACATGAAGCCACCTGGAGCCACACACAAGTCCAACGCTCCTCCGCTGGACAGCACCAGGCCGGTCCCGCACCCCTGTGAGGAGCAGAACAGGTGTCTCGGCCCTCATCCCAACACAGCAGAAACCCGGACACCAACAGAACCTGTGGGCCCTCTTCCTGAGCACCGCAGGAATGGGCACCCATCTAGGTCAGAGGTGGCCGAACAGCACAAGTCAGGAAGCCTGCGAGGCAGGCGGGGGCGGCAGCACTTGGTGGGCTGAGGGGTCCAGCGGAATGCAGAGCCCTGGCCTGAATGAGAGTCACACTGGCGCACACACGAGTCGAGGGGCTGGCAGCTGGGCCTGTCCCAGGAGGGCCGTGTGGCGAGCACCGCCTCAGCCAGGTTTGCTCCTGCAACAGCTTGTTCTACATCAAACCACAAGCTCAGAGGCACCTGATTTTAAATGGCGAAGATTAACTGTGCTCTTAAAGGTTACGTCCTAGTTACCAGCACTTTAAGGCAAGGGTGTAAACTGAGCCCTTGTGGGCCAAAGGCAGCCTGTCTGTTTCTGTAAATAAAGTTTTCTCGGCATGGCCACCCCCAACTCATCCCCGACCGCCCCGCGGTGCTCTGGTTACCAGTCGGGTGGTCGCAATGCCGTGCAGATGGGAAAGCTGAAATTATCTACTGTCTGGCCCTTCACACGAGAGGTCTGCCGAGCCCCTAAGAGGGATGACGATATCAGAACAGAGAACTTATTCAAGTGGCTCCGGCAGGAGGCCCACTCTGATGTTCAGACTCCAGGCAACCTGTGACACCCCTCTCCAGGGCTGCCCTTTGTCAGCCACCCTACCAGAGAGCACAGGCCAGGTCCAGGGCAGGTGGCACTTGCTCCAGAGGCAGCAGCCACCCCTGCCACCGGGTCCCTGTACAAGCACCCCTGCACGGGCGAGGCCACGGGTACGGTCTCCTGCTCTGCATCCTCTGAAGAGGAGGTTCTGTTCCTCCATCACACGTGTCACCCTGGAAAGGTGCCAGTTTCGGTCTTAAGCTCATAACTAAGTAGAACAAATTTTTAATCAAAGAGGAAAAGTAAATTCCCCCAAACCCTGGAATTCCGGCAGTGGTGCCCAAAGATTAATTAAATTCATACAATGGACCCAGGGACAGATGGCCCATTCTAGAGGGGAAACAGATTAAGGTCCAAGCTCTGCCCTCTCCACACCCTCAGCCCCAAGCACGCGTATCTGTGCTCACAAGCTCACACCTGAGGAACCAAGGAAATCACATGAAGCTCATCCCAGGGCCAAACGCACGCATAACACACAGGCCTCCCCCCTCGGAGGCCAGGCCCCAGCACGGCCAGGTGGTGTGGGGGGTCTATACCCTACCTCACGGTACACACCCCCCCTCGCGCAAGGAACGCGCAGGCCAGAACAGCCCCAACGCCTCGCAGTGATGTGGATCAAGTGACCTCAGCGTCCAGGCAAGAGCCCTGGCTCTGGGCAGACCTGCACTGCAGACTCAGCCCGTGCCCTGGGAGCCCCAGTCCCCAAGCCTCAGCCCCACTTGGAGCGCCCCGGACGGGCCGGGGAGCCCCATCCACAGAGAAGTCGCTGGGCCCGCCACACACTTACGAACTTGAGCATGTTCCAGTCGAACACGTAGTCGTAGGAGAAGCCCTGCCGGTGGAAGAGGTTGCGGAAGAGCTGGCGCAGGTAGGAGTAGTCGGGCTTGTCGTCGAAGCGCAGGGAGCGGCAGAAGTTCAGGTACGTGGCAAACTCGGCTGCGGGCACCGGGACACCTGGAGGTAGCTGGCGGTGCCGGCTACGAGCCGGCATGGCATCGCCAGCAAGACCCCTTCCCCCCAACACCACAGGCAGGCGCAAAGGACGGAGCCTAAAACCCCGGGGCGGGGCGGGAAGGACGGGGGTGAGAGAACCCAACACCACGGGGCCCTTATGCAGCGGGTGGGCCCACAAGAGCAAAAGGAAAACTCCAAGCTGCGGCCCGGAGAGGCAGGGAGCCCTAGGGCAGAGGGATGCAGCCGGGTAGACGGCAGACACCTGCCTGCTCTCCACGCCCCCCGCCACCATGCAGGACCCTCCGAGACTCGGGGGGCCCCCCGCCCGCCCTGGACACTCACAGGGGTAGCCTTTGCACAGCACCTCGATGGGCGTGGACATCTTCTTCTCGCTGATCCTCTCGTACTTCTGCCGCTTGGTGGCCGCCTTCAGTCCCTGCCAGGGCAGCGAGCCCAGGTTGAAGTACATGAGCACATAGCCCAGCGACTCCAGGTCGTCCCTCCGAGATTGCTCTGGAAAGAGAGGGCAGTGGTCAGGGAAGAGAGGGCAGTGGTCAGGGCAGCGCGGGCCCCACAGATGCTCCCTGGGGCAGGAACTCAAAGCCCCAGGGAAGAATACCTCAACTCGTTTGTGAACGAGTCCCCCTGATGTCCCGGGAGGCGCCTCACACTGAGACGGCGACGGCGTCACAGCCGCCTGCCAGGAAGCCCCGCAGCCCACAGGGCAAGGTCTCAGGGCCCGGGAGCCAGTCTTTGCCACAGAGGGTGATTACAGGCTCCAGACTGGGGCCTCAGCGGGGCTGGCTCTCCCCAAGCTGAGAACAGGCGCCCAGGCCGCTGGGGGAGCTCACCGATGCCGAGGTGCGTGTTGATGGAGGCGTAGCGTGCCGTCCCGGTGAGGTTCTTGTTCTCGCGGTAGGGGATGTGCTGGTGGGTGCGGGCGTCCCGGTACTTCTTGGCCAGTCCAAAGTCGATGATGTACACCAGGTTGCCCTTCTTACCCAGCCCCATGAGGAAGTTGTCCGGCTTCACGTCCCGGTGGATGAAGTTCTTCGAGTGAATGTACTCAATACGACTAATCTAGAGGGGAAGCACGGCGAGAGGTCACCCCAGAGCAGTGGCAGCCATGGGGAAGCAGCCCAGCACTCCCACACCCTCGGTTCAGACAGGGGACTGAGCTGACCGCCTCCAGCCCCACACCGGCTCTCAGGGAAGTGAACGGCCCATAACCTGATGTGACGGCTGTCCTTTCGGGGCCAGGTCCCCGGGGAACTCAGGGCCCACAGAAAGAGCACGCCCATTAAGGAGCTTCCGTTTTCTCCTGGTGCACAAGAGGCACTGAGGCAGAGAGAGCAGCCCTGGCACCCCACCAGGCTGAGCGCCCAAGCCGCCCTGCTCTGGACAGAAGTGAGCTCTTACCATTTGGTCAGCAAGGAGCAGGACAGTTTTGAGGCTGAATTTCCTGGAGCAAAAGTTGAAGAGGTCCTCTAGGCTGGGCCCCAGCAGCTCCATCACCATGACGTTGTAGTCCCCCTCCGCCCCGCACCACCGGATGGTGGGGATGCCCACTGTAAGAGAGCCACGTGTCAGCCCACCTCTCCACCCGGGGTGGGGGGGAACCTGGCCCACCTGCCCATACGCTGTGACCGCCGCACAACAGACACTGACCAGGGTCAGGCAGGAGCAGTCGGAAGTGACACAGGGAAAGAACGTGGTGCCAACTGCACAGGCAGGGAGGGGGGGGACAGGGGCTCCGGAGAAGCAGCAGATATCCCCCCCAACACCCAGCTTCCCCCTCGACGGTCATCCTACATCAGCGCAGGCGTGTGTCACAGTGCGTGTGTCAGCGTGTGAACCAATACTGACCCTGTCACTAATCACAGCCTATTCACGTTTCTTCTTCCTCTTTCATTAAACTGAAGCACAGCTCATCTACGACGCTGGGTCAGTTCCTAGCGCACGGCACAGTGATTCGGTCACACGTGCGTCCATGTATCCTTTTCCATGACAGGTCGTTACGAGACACTGAGTACAGCTCCCTGTGCGACACAGCCGGTCCTTGTCCTTTATCTGTCTTATACACAGCAGTTTGTATCTGCACGTCCCAAACGCCCAACTGACCCCTCCCCGCCCCCGCCCCGGGGTCCCCCAGGAGACACAGTCCTCCCGTCTCCTCGGGCCCCTCCCAGCTGACCAGGCTGTGCAGGGTGCTGGGCAGGGCCCTGCAGACCGCCCCTCTGCAGGGGGTCAGTCTGGGCTGTGGGCTCGGGGGAGGGACACCGCACAGGGTCCTGGCTGTGGGTGTGGAGGCGCCTTTGCCTGTGGCTGGGGCTGCCGCCAGCCGTCTGCCCCACAGGGCTCCCCTTCTCTCGCCCCGTCCCGTTCCCTCGGGGGTCGGGAGTCTTGCACGCAGACTTCCCTCCCCTCCCTCCTCAGCACTTTCCCCACCAGTACGACCCACGAGCGTCTACTGCATGCTCTGGTCTGAGCCCTGGTGCTCCGCCCTCTACTCTGCTGCGCAAAGTGCCCCGCCTTGGCTGCTGGGCGAGCCTCAGTGGCTCCTGTGGCCCTGAACTCCTGACTATCAGTGAGGCAACCTCCTTCCACTTTTCCAATTAAGTATCTAAAGAGTACGTTTTACATATCACAGGAGGACAAACTCAACAAATCCTTAGCTTACAAGGCACGAGGCAGCACCAGGCCGCAGCCCACCGCCGCACACAGACCAAGGACACGCACAAGTGGCCACACCGTGCGCGCCTCCCCCCTCCTCTCACACCGCGCCCTGCGAACGGCGCCCACACAGCCCTGCACCCCGGCTGTGCTCCTAACAGCGAGCGTGCCATCTGTCACTTCGCTTGGAGGACAGGGCACACTTCCTCTTCCTTCTGTCATCTGACTGTTCAGGGCTGCTTTTCCTTCATGAAACAGTGTGCTAAGCATATTCTTACGCACGTCCACTAGTGAAAATCCTTACACGGGAAATTCTCATTCGAATCTAGTCCCACGCATGAGAAACTCAGGATACGAACTACCTGACTGCACCAGCCATCGCAGGATAACCACTTTACAGCCCCACCAGAAACGAATGAGTTAGTTCCTACTCGCGTAAGAGTCTTTCCAGAGTTCTTAATTTTCATCAGTCGACTGAGTGGGTATAAAATGGTGTCTCAACAAACTACCTGGCATTTTTTAATTATTCATTGGCAGAGCATGCTGCCTCTTCTCTGAAACACCGATGCATGTCTTTTGTCAATTTTTTCTATGAGGGTGTCTTTTTCCTATTTATAACAGTTCTTTTATAAATTCTGGACACTAAGTATCTTTGTTTTTACGTGAGGCAAGTATCTTTTCTCAGTTAACGGCCTGTTTTCTTACTTTCTTCTGCTGGAGTCTTTTGATGAAAAGAGGTACTAAATGTTAGCAGAGATAAACGCACCAACCTCTCCCTTTATGAGTAACGTTTCTGGCACCCTACGTAAGACCCTGACCTCAGAATCAGGAAGAGATGCTACTTCTTAAAAATACTTCTACTTCCAGCCAAGGTGGCGCAAGGGGGACCCCACCCACCTCACGCCCACAACAACCAGGAAGCGCGAACAAACGACAACATACGAAAAGACACGGGCTTCTAAGGCACTCAGCACGAGGCAACGAATGACACGGATCCCTCAGGCAGGACACGCCCCTGTCCTACCCGAGCACATGAGCAGAAGAAAAACAAAAACGAAAGTGATGAAAGTAACTCAGCTCCATCTCGTAACTAAGCTGAGGCAGACTGGGAGGACGGTAAGGTGCCCAGCACACAAGGACGTGAAGCCAGCAGCTAGAGACGACCAGCCAGCAAAGAGGCAGAAACAGGACCCACCCCGCGGACAGTCAGTGGACACTAACTCAGATGTCAGAATCAGCACAGAAGGGCAATAAAAGGAATTACGAACACGTATTCCATGTCAGAAACAGTTCAACAAAGGCACGCACAAGAGAGACAGAGAAGACCTGACCTGCCTTCTAGAGACGAAGACCACGACATCTGAGAGGACACGGCGCTGGGTGACGGCGCACGACGGAACTGCTGGGAAAGCAACAAGAGCCCAGGGGCTGTGGGACAGTCAAGGCACCTGCTGTCTGCGTAGCTGCAGCCCTGGGAGAGGGGAGGAGAGGGCAGGCCCCTGAAAGGAAGCGCTGCAGAAAGCAACGACCCTGCAGAGCTGCGGAGCTCGACAAGCCCCAGAAGCGAGGACCGTGAAGAACAGGACACTAACGTAACTGACGGTCAAAGCGCTCAGAACTAGTGACGGACAGATCATCCTGGAAGCAGCCAGAGAAAAAGAAGACACATTCGCACACAGCAGAGGAGCCCCTCTTAACGCCTGAGAAAAGACCTGGCAATCTGCCCCAAAACACCTCCGCAGAGGCAGAACGAAGACATTTTCAGATGTAAGAAGCTGAGGGCTCAATTGCCAGCACACCTGCACCGTGACCCACGGACATCCTTCAGGCAGGAGGCAGACGCTGCCACGTGAAGTCAGGGCTACAAAGACCAATGAAAAGCACCGGAAATAACAACCTAAGCACACGTATTTTAGAAAACTACATAAATGTACGAGATACGACAGATTAAACAAAAATAACACAAGGCAGCGTCGCAAGGGTGGACGCGTGCCAGCTCAGGCTCCGCTCCGCGGGCGGTGGCCTCCTGCCCCTGGAGGATGTGACTGACCCGCCAGCGATGCACACGGTAAACCCTACCTCAGCCACAAAACAACAGCACGGAGCGAGCTCAGCAGAAAAATGGTTGAGAAACGTAAAAGAACCGCGATTAGCCCAAAAGAAGGCAAAGAAGGAGGGAAAACGAACAAAGACCAAATGAGACAAAACTAACAGCAAACCTAATCTTGCCATTAGTCACGCTGGTAGCATGTAAACAGTCCAAATGACCCAAACGAGGAAAACCTCCGCGGACGAGACAGAAGAGCAAGCACCCGCTTGCGTGCCGCCCGCAGTGATGCGCCTCAGACACAGCAGGTCACAGCTGCACGGTGAGTCCGCACACCAGCAGCAGGCGAGGGGCGGAGGGCTGCCGCGTGGGCTCCTGACGCCACAGCCGGCGCGGAGAGCTTCCAGGGAGGTCACCGCCATCTCACTGAAGCCGGCATCCATCCATCAAGAGAAGGCAACAATTCTAAGCACTTATGCAGCTGACAACAGAGCTTCAGCATTCACGAAGCAGAACTGCAAGGAGACAGAGAAGCCACAACCTAGCGGCAGACTTCACGAGGTCCTCGCAGTAGCAGAACCCACCTCCTTCTCAAGAGCACACGGGGCATTTATCCAGACACACCCCACTCTGGACATAAAACAAGCCTCAGTAAAGTCGTCAGAAGGGTTCAAGTTATGCAACACATATTCTCTGAAAAAGTGAGTAAGAGCTCTCTGGAAAATTCCCAAGTATATGGAAGCTAAAAAATACACCTCAAAATAACCCATGGATGAAGGATCAAGTCAAAAAGGGATGAGCATCTGAACTACATGGAGATGAAAACACGTCAGGACTTATGAATGCTGCTCCAGGAGGGAAATTTACAGCCACGAAGCACCTCTCCTGGAAAAGACAGACCAACGATCTCAGCTTCCTCCGTAAGAAGACAGCTAATTAAACCATAAGCCAGCAGAAGGGAAATAAAAGATCACAGCAGAAACCAACGAAACAGAGAACAGAGATACAACAGAGAAAGTAACTGACACCAAAGCTGGTTCTCTGAGAAAATTATTGATCAATCTCTCATCAGACTGATCAAGAGAAAACAGAAGGCACAAATCACCAACACAAGAGTGAGAGGTGACCTCACTAGGTTCTAGAGACATTACAAAGCTAGCAGGAAGCGTGATGAACATCTTCATGCCAATACCCTCCGTAACCTGGGTGAAGCGGACAGGTCAGAGACTCGCCTGCCGCTTACGGCGCGGTAGGACCCAGTGCGGTGTGGCAGCTTCTGAGAGGGAAAACAGGAGCCCACTATGGACTCCATTCCCACACGCTCCCCCAGGAGGAGGGGACGAGCAGCCACACAGACACCTGCACAAGAGCTCGCAGCAGCTTTGTCCAGAGTACCTGCAGGCAAGTACTCAGCTACTGCTGAGCTACACCCCGTAAGAAGAATCTGAAAGCTGCAGCCAACCCAGCTGCCCACGAACAGGTGCAAGACAGAGAGACAGACACACAGGGGAATACCTTTCAGCAACGAAAAGGAGTAACCACCAATGCACACGTGAAATCTCAAAAATACACACAGTGTTACTACTCATACAGGAACTCTAGGAAATGCAAACTAACTTGGGGTGACAGAAGCCGAGAAATGTGACTTGGGGACAGAGGGCGGGGGCAGAGGAACCACAAAGGGACCCAAAAACCTGGAGGGTTAGGGGTATGCGCACCATCTTGATTATGGCAGTGGTTTCCTGAAGGCACACACACCGCAAAACTTCTCAAATGACACGGTCAAAATAGATGAAGTTTGTTACACCTCAATAATGACGATTTAGAAAATCAAGGTGTTCTTGTCTT